GGCTTTTGGGGGCTTTCCTGACTACTATGAACACCAAATAGTGTCAATTCAAAATATGAATGTAGGATAGATACTTAGGAATCACTGAAGACAGTGAAGGTTATCAAATTGGTGAATTACAGGAATGGATTAAAAACAAAGAACACTAAAATCTCTTCTTCACATACTCAAAGAAGTTGATTTCATCTCTACCTATTGTTTCAACCACCATTGTCATGGGAACAGATTTCTCCCCATTCTCTCTCTCTAGGTTAGACCTTCTCTCTTGAACTCCAGATACACAAATCCAAGTGTTTTTTATATCTATATCAATTTCGGTCTAAATCCATAACCATATTGATATCTTTATATTTTAATGTATTTGCACTATTCCCATCTTTGCCTCCTACTCAACTTCCTTATTCCTGCCCAAGGTCAAGCCAACTTCCTTTTTTCTGGGCCCATTCTGTGTCCCTTTGCTCTCTGCTCCTTCAGGGTATCCAGGCCATCATTTGTAGCCATCCTCCTCATCTTCTACTTCTCTACGGCCTTTTTCCCCTTAACATATAGACATGTCAACATTTTTGTGATGTTAAACAAATGAAAATCATTTCTCAGATGCAGCAAGGCCAAAACAGAACTCTACATTTCTCCACACAATCTGTGGTTAACAGCTTTTTGTCCTTCGAAACTCAATTCAAATTGTACTCCCCACCCCCAATCATACTCTGTGCAAGCATGTCATCTTGAATATCTATCTATCAAATACCACAAATCATAGTTAACCATGAGTTTGCCTGTCTTCTTTATTAGACTGTGAGCTTCTGGAGTATAGGAATTGGTATTACATCATTGTTACCAGAAGTCAATTAATTAGGTAGTGAGTGTAAATGTCAAAACATAATCTCAGATCTGGACATTCTTCCTATTTTTCTAAAATTTCTATTTTTTAGCTCTCATATTATCAGAAATGAAATTTAATCAATCAGGTTTCTTTAACCCCACCCTCCCACCCCAGAGGGCTGTGTGTAGATTCCAGGCAGGTTATGAAGTACTGATGCTGGTCGGGGTGGGGTATGGGATATGTCTGGCCCAAGTTGCCCAGGCTGCACCCTTGAGACACCCCACTCCTGTCTGATTTCTATTTCTATTCAAATGGCTACACCCTCCTTATCCAGACCACACACTACTCTGACCTAACTTTTGCTCAGCTATTTCTATCTCCTTTCAGGAAACATGTAACTGGAATTTTTTTCATTCCCTCTCCTGAGTTCAGGACAGGAGTTGAGCAGAGAGTAGGAACCTCTTCTCAGGAAATACCAGTGTCTTAGCTTTTTCTCCCTTCACACCCAAGAAATCAGGTTTTAGAATCTAGTGTATCAGTTCTGATGCTTTGTGCTAAAAAAAAAAAAAAAGAATATCTAACTAAAAAGTAGCCTCCATAATAAAGAGATTTAGTGAGCTCATATACGAGGAGGTTCAGAGGTAGAGGATAATTCTTGGGCTGGTTCATAGCACAGCAATGTCAATGATGATTCAGGCTATTTCCTTCTCTCTGCTCCCCCATCCTCTGTATATTGGCTTGGTTCTCAAAGTTGTTTCCTCATGGTCTCAAGATAGCTTCTCTCTTTTATCATTAGGGAGGAACATATATCATATTACACTTTTAGAATAAAAAAAGATACTGCAAGATCAGGTCATCTATGGTGTGATAGTGTGTAAAATGTTTCCCACTCTAGCAAGCAGGAAAATTAAACGATTAAGGCAACTTTAATGTAACAAATTACATGGGCATAAACAACATTTCTATGTTTGTCCTAAATTTGGAAGTCATACATGAAGGATGTTATTTAGTTGCCTTATACATAACATCTCTACAAAATACATAAAATAATCAATTGCTATATGTGCTGTGTTTATACATTGGTAATACGTAGTAGTTAACAAAATCATCAAAGAAAATTAAAAAGGAGGGTAAGAACTTGTTCACTATATAACCCCAAAGCCTAATACATTAGAGCTCATGATTCCATGTGAAAGTTCGAATGTCATGCTTTAGCTTAAATTATAGTACACTAGTTTTCTGGTAAAACCTTTTCCTGCACCCTCATCAGCTTACTTTGCTTATGATAAACTTGTCTCCATTTTTGCTTACTTACAAAGCATTTCATTTCCATCTTTTAAGTCTCTTAGACTCATCTTTACCTCTCTAATGATCAACCTATAGTTTGCCAAGGCAGGTCCTGTAGCAGCCAAGAATCAAAGTGTCTGGTCTCTTTACATAATCACATCGAATCCCTGGATAGCTATATATTTTACTCCAGAAGGAGAAGATTGTTTATATCTGGCTCTCGTCCTTCCTTAGTTTGCATTATAAGCAGAAAATTATGCATTCTTGAGTTGAAACAGCTCACAAAATAACAAATGAGTAATGATACTTGGCTCTTGTTTTCCTTTTTTAATTTTAAAGGACATAACGTGTGTTATCTCAGAGAATGTCAGTCTGCTGATTCAAATTTGACCATGTGGTTGAATCCAGTTGCCCTTTATAACTCTACTTTTTATATATTTCAAATTTCTTTCACATTCCAAATAGCATAAATGACTGTATTGTCAAGGCCAAAATTGGGATTCCGGTTTGGATTCTGGTTGAGAACTATTCCAGTCTCAGAATGAGCTTTTTTGTAGTCCATCACCTTTGTCTTTCCATATTCTAGAACTTTAAAATCTGGGACATGTGGGATCCCTATATATTACCTGCCAAGGAGATTGTTTAGCTGAGAATTAACACAAACGCATGTATTTTTATAAAGTTTCAAAAATGAGCTCCTAATATTATCCTTTGTCAATCATCTACTTATTATTTATTAGAATTCTATAGCACCTTTTTTCCAAAGAGCTCAATGTATCTTAAACGCATGTTACAATGCACTTTAAATAGGTGTTACCAAATTTGGCATTATATGTGTGAAATGCTGCTAAAATTACGAATTTCAACTATAAATTATCGAAAGAAAGGAAATTTCAGCATCATTTAAAAATTATATATATATATATATATGTGTGTGTGTGTGTGTGTGTGTGTGTGTGCGCATATTCTTTTTTCCTTAAGGCCTCTTAGCTCTGTCAGAACCTTTCTAAAAGAACTGCAGGGTTAGCTTTGAAACAGTGAATGTTACCTATAAATACAGACACTTGACTGCTATTTGAAATGTTATGCAGTTTTCTTGTTTGCAAAGGATCTGATGTTTCCTTTGGTTTCTAGGAATATAACAGCCATTTCTGACTAAATGTCAAGTGACAGGCCTAACAGGCTTTGGATGTTTATTAGGTTGGATTTATAGGGGTTCTGAACTCTTTTGCAGTTAATACACTATTTCTTTTCTTTCTGCCATCAATGTTGAAGCAAGGCTGAGCATAAGGGAGTTGTCATCAGTGAGTTCTTGTCTCGATAGCAGAGGAAGGAGAGCATGGGGATGATGGACAATTACTATCCCTCTCTTCTCGGAAGGGGAAAATAAACACATTATAATCTTTAAGTTAGAGGTAATTCAAAAAAGTCAGAGGCAGGCAATGCCTTCTAATTTAGAGACATTTTCTCTTTCTTTGCCACTCCCTCCCCAAACTACAACAATAATAAAAGAAACCCCACAATCAAAGAACCAACTCCGACCTCCCCATCCTAGAAATCCCAAATTGTGGGCTTCAGTTGCATTCGGCCCTGTTCTTTTCTTTCCTCTCTTTTTTACTCAGATGGATTGCTTTCAGTTGGGGCAGTCTTCATTCCACATGAGCTTTGAAATCATATCCCTGGATCTGTATAGAACGGCAGTAGTTCAAAGTATTAGTAGCAGCCTTCCATAGTAATGCTGCCATTAGATCATTATGACTATTCTAAGGTTCTGCCTGTGAGCATGGCATGAATTTTATATTTGGAAATAAAATCCTCCCGGGATACCACAAAGCTGCACGCCGGCCTTGCCCCTTCTCGCAGGCCGTTAGGATTGGCTGCCCTGCCTCGGTCTTGTGTTACGCAGGAATAAGTCCTGCCGTGTTTGTTTCACATAAGAACCCCTTCAATTTGTTTATAATGATCTGAATGATATTATTAGGTGAACAAAGCCACTCAATGGTGACATTTATTAACCAGTCATATCATCTGTGTTTAAATCTCGTATTGCATTTCAGGGAAATTGTGTGAACCTAACTCCAGCATAACTTTTCTTTGGGGACCACTGCTTTGAATTGAGTTTGAAATAAATTAGAAGAACATAGAAAGCAGGTTTTATTTCCAGGAGAGCATTTCACTTAAGAGGTTTAGACTGAGCCAGATTATGTATAGAGGCCCACGGAAAGGTAGATGTTGGCACTCCTCTACCTAGCACTGGCTATATGTTTGTCTGCGTGAGTCAGGAGTGTGGTTCGTTTTTAAAGAGGGATATGGGAATTGGAATGAACAGTGCCATGGAAGTGAAACAGAGGTGCAAGGGAATGTGGAAGAAAACCATGTTTATAAAAATGAAGTCTTTGTGTGTGTGGGCTGGGAGAGTGACGAATCTGCTATGACACCATGGGGCTGAGTGTGCATGTATGGGATAATGTCCATTGTTTGGAAAGAAGGCATGCAGAGATTGGTGACTGTGGCTAGATACATGGGTGAATTAGAATGCGGAGAAATTAGAACATGATTGAAGGACCATGGCCCATTTATGTGAAAGCAAGGAAGGCTTGCATGCATGTATGATTTTGAATAACAATGAATGGTGTACCTAAAATTATTTTTATTGTGGAAAATCCCAAATATTACTGAAGAATAAAAAGAACAGTATAACATGCCCTCATATACCCATCACTCATCTTCAACGATGAACTCATACTCAGTCTTGTTTCATCTTTACTTTCCTTCTTCCCCATTACAGCTGTATTAAAGACACCATATCTTTGTGTCCATAACTACTTCTGTATGAATCTACAAAAGACAAAGAATCATTTAAAAATCATGGAACTGTTGAGACAAATAAACATGGAGTCCATCTTCCATGAGAAACAAAAAGGTTCACTTTGTGCTCAGCATTGCTTGAATAATCTATTACAAGGAGAATATTTTAGCCCCGTGGAATTGTCTTCTATTGCACAGCTAGATGAAGACGAGAGGATGAGAATGGCTGAAGGAGGAGTTACTAGTGAAGACTATTGCACATTTTTACAGCAGCCTTCTGGAAATACGAATGACAGTGGTTTTTTCTCTATTCAAGTTATAAGTAATGCTTTGAAAGTTTGGAGTTTGGAACTAATCCTGTTTAACAGTCGGGAGTATCAGAGGCTCGGAATCGATCCCATAAATGAAAGATCATTTATATGCAATTATAAAGAACACTGGTTTACAGTTAGAAAATTAGGAAAACAGTGGTTCAACTTGAATTCTCTCTTGACGGGTCCAGAATTAATATCAGACACATACCTTGCACTTTTCTTGGCTCAGTTACAACAGGAAGGTTATTCTATATTTGTTGTTAAGGGTGATCTGCCAGACTGTGAAGCTGACCAACTTCTACAGATGATCAGGGTCCAACAGATGCAGCGACCAAAACTTATTGGTGAAGAATTAGCACAACTAAAGGAACAGAGAGTCCAGAAAACAGATCTGGAACAAGCCTTGGAAGCAAATGATGGATCAACAACATTAGACGAAGAAGAGGAGGACTTGCAGCGGGCTCTGGCACTAAGTCGCCAACAGATTGACATGATGGAGGATGAAGAAGCTGATCTCTGCAGGGCTATTCAGCTCAGTATTCAAGGTGGTTCCAGAAATATATCTCAAGATATTCCACAGACATCAAGTACACATCTTACTTCAGAAGAGTTACGGAAGAGAAGAGAAGCCTACTTTGAAAAGTAAAGTAGTTGGTACAATATTAAAATTGCATATTCAATATTTAAAAAAAATCATGGTACTGTTGGTACCAATGTCATACCTATAAAAATGAGTAATTCCTTACTATCAAAAAAATCAGTCAGCATCCAAATTTCTGTGATTATCTTATATTTTTTATATTTGGTCTGTTTAAATGAGAATGTCAAAAGGTGTGCCTATTACACTTGGTTTTTATATCTCAAGAATCTTACAATCTGTAAGTTATCCCTGTATTTTTTACTTGCAATTTGTTTATAAAAATTGGGTCGTTTTTTTCTATAGAGCTTCTCACATTTTGGATTTTGTTGATTGCATTTCTTTTTTATTTTCCATGAAATAGTAGTTAGATTAAGAGGCTTGATCTGTTTCAGGTTTGATTATCTGGCAAGAATACTTTATAGGTGTACTTCCATTGAGAGGCACATAATGTCTAGTTGTTTCTAATTTTGGGGATGTTAGCAGCCATTGATGTTTCTTGATTAGAGTCATTATCTCATAAAGGGGTCTGCAACATGGCATTTTCTTAATTTTTTTTGCTGGAATATGTCTATAGAGAAAAACTTCTCCTTAACAACTATTATTTTCCCCCAAGGCACAGTTCACATAAGAAAGGCAAATCAGATGCTTGATTGTTTCTCTTTATTTAGGTGGTCTCCTGATATTCTCTAAGATCAGTGAGGTTTGGTTCCTCTATTTCCATTTTGAATGCATGACTTTTAATATATTTGATTAAGTTTAACCCATAACACATTATTATTATTGGTGCTCAAGTTGTCCCATCTTTGGCTAGAGGGAGCCTTTTTAAATTGGCTACTTGGCTCTTGGACATAGTAGCTTTTGAGAACTTTCTTGCCTTTTGGCATTTCTAGATGTTCCATGCTCAACTTGTACAGTTGCTGTACAAGACCTGGAATCAATCATTGCTTTAGGAATCTGTGGCTCCTTTTAGAGGGAAATGGAAATGAAGGTGTTCGTCACTTTTGGTTTGTGGTTTGTTTGTGGAATGGTTTGCATTAGGACTTGACAATATTTCTGAAGTACCTCATGTTTGTTCAATGGTGATGTTTACAATTGGATCAGGATGTTTTGTGTTGCAAAAAACAGAAAATCTGACCCAAGCTGACATGAAAAATAAGAGAATTTTCTTTTCTTCTTCCTTGTTTGTTTGTTTCTTTCTTTGTATTTGTAGCCGAAAAGTCCAGAGATAAGGTTGGGTTCAAGTAAGGCTTCCAGTTACCTTTTGTCTCTGCTATACTATCTTTTTAATGTTGGCACCATCTTAAAACTTGCACTCCTGATGGTCCTGAGATGATTCCCATCAGCTCCAGGACTGCATGTTTCCACATTTGCACCCAGTAAAAGCATCATTGTCTCTTCCTGCTCAGAAATAATCCTAAATTTATTCTGAGTGGAAATTTTTAGTTAGGTTATGTGATCAAGGCAGAGCCCCAAACTTGTTTGTTGGATGGAAAGTGCTGATTGGTTTAACCTAGATTACATATTCCACTCCTGGAGCTGGAGATAAAAACAACTTCTCTAGAACCATCTGAATCTTCAAATAGAAATTGGGACTGTGGGAAAGGAAGGTCACAAATGAATGATGGAAGGAGCCAACAAATATCTACTATTACAATACAGTATTTTTTTCTTTCATCTATCCATCTATCACCTCATCTATTCATGCTACCCTAGGTACAATTTTAAGCTTTAGGGAGGCAAAGAGGAGTAAAATATAATCTCCAGTCTCAAGGAATTTGTAGACCAATAGAAGTAGGCATATTATCCTTGCAATTACCAGGAGAGAATGCTATACAGGGTACAGTGGAGGAGAGGGATGAAGAAATCATTTCTACTTGGGCAGTGGTCTTTCCAATGCAAAGATTTTGTGATTCTGTGATTACTTTATGATAGGTTTGTTATCTTCCTTAGAACCTACATTGGAAGGCTCAAACATTGAAAGATCATGAAAATTATATTCGTTCTCCAGATTTTAGAAAATTCTTTCATCATTATAGCATAAAGGTATCAGCAGCATAAGAACTAATCTCTGGAATTCTTTTCCCATATGGCCAGAAGGGATAGAATATTAATGTTCTTCCAGAGATGAAAGAAACTTGTGTTGTTAGCACAAAGTTGTCTTTTCTCAGCTGGTTCAGATATCACTGGAGTGTTATATATTTGTAATTTAAAAGAAAATAAGATGCCAAATCCAGATTGTTCCTTTGAGCTGACCATTTGCTTAGGTACAATGTTCTGGATTACAATATTAAACTTCTCTACCACATGAATCACAACAGAGCAGAACTGGTAAGTATATCATCTTAAATCCCATTTAGGTAAGTCTCATCTTAAAGAGTAAAAGGTGTCCTTGTAGAAAAGTTTCACAGCAAAATCTCTGGGTATGAAGGTCACAGTGATGAGAATAGCATCAGCTGAAAACTAAATTAAAAATAACCTGAAAAAACTTAGTATAGATGGTATGGCAAAGGTACCATTGACTAATTTAAAAACAAATATATCTCCAATTTCTTTAAATGCCATTATGAATGGCGCTAATGATGGTTACCTTTCTTATTTTGTTAGCTGGGGGGAGAGTCTAATAACAAATTACAATCACGATTTACTCTGTAAAATAACAACCTTATCTTTTACACCCATGGGGTGTCACCTAATTGTTTTTTTAACCACTAAAATAAATGATGCACTCCTTTCTTAACATATTTTTTCATCATTAAAATGGTCAGTACTTGTTATTTAACCACACCTTGCCTTAGTCTCCCATTCCCATTCACTTTTATGATTCATTAACATCTTGGAGACCTACCACATTGCATTGCAAAAAGCTTTTTGTGGTCAAGTTTGCCCTTGCAAAAGCCCTGGGGGGAAAAACAAACAAACAAAGCCAACAATCTCAGACCCAAACCCAACCATCTGTGCTGTGTGATGGGGCATTCCTGATGCAGAGCATTAGCACTGGCTGAGAGTTACCACAGAGTACAATTGTTTATGCTGTGCCACAGTGCAGAGCAGACAATACCACACAATCAAAGCCTTCACACTCAAACAGACATCACACTCTGTAATTATATTTGTCTGACAGATTATTATAATTGTACATGGCAGGTAGTGTAAAGCAGCTCCTTTTTACAGCCTAAATAATGTGGCATATTCTGCATACTCTAAATCAACCGTGTAGAAGGTAAATTATGAAAGCTAAATGCACGTTGAGTGTTTTTATTTACTCTTTCAGTTAGCATCTTATGTGGTGCTAGACAGCAAAAGAGCATTACCTTAGTTTGCCTGGTAGCGTTTCATTTAACACTTTTTTGTGCAAAGTTCCTTTCTGGATGACAATATCTTTTATATTGGCATACTTATGGCAACTCCAGAAATGATTATTTGTAATGTTTTCCCCCATACCCACACTGACCAAATACCAGATGAGACTGTGCTAAGTCAACATGAGGTTAAAATGCATTTTCCAAAAAAAAAATTATAAACTCCGTTCTGTGGTTCCTTTCTTTAACATGAGAATAAAACCAACATGGGGAAATAGTTACTTGGTTATTTGCAGAATTTAAGGACTCCCTTTCGGATAGCCTTCTGGACAAAGGGATATGTCTTGTAGCAGAGAGTCTTCTAGTGCTCACCATGCCTGATTCTTAGTTTCTTCCAAGCATATAAGAGGAGGAGAGGACATTTTTCCACCATCTTGCATTTAGATGGGGCCATGCTGACTAGTTTTTACAGTTGGTTGTGGATGTAAGTCATTTCTTTTGCCAATATATGCTTAGCACTGTGACCTTCTAACATCCTCTTACCTCTTATGCTAGTGACTAAGGAGTCTGTCCATTCCAGAAGGAGCAGGTGTTAGAAGGTAGCCTTTCTCCACCCCAATCCCTGGTAACTGAAGCTGAGTTCCTGCTAGTTGGGTCTTTCATGTGTTACTGAAAACTATACTGTTCAGCATAGTTTAGTCTATCCTGCCTGATACGTGACTCTTCAATATTTGGTTTGTCTATATGGATCCCATTTTATATTAGATTTGTGATGTTATGTCAATTCATCACAGTTTCCATACTATGATTCTGCTGTTCCAAAAATACACATGATAAAATAATAAAAGTTACTGTACACTGAGTGTTTGACAAGTGCTGGCACTGTATATTCTTTACATAATGTAGAATTAGTCTTCATAAAAGTTTACACAGTTACTTATCTGGTTAAGGCAGATAAGTAATTTCCCAACTCCACACAGAAGTCCTGTTCAAAAGAGTCCTGTCTAGCTCCACAATCTATCCTTGTCCCATTTCACTGTATTGGCTTATGATATTAATTCCCCAAAATAATGAAATGGGTTAAAAAGTAAATAAAGATACTGATATTTGCCAACATTTTAGTGTTCTATTTATTTATTCCCTAGATTGATGTATGGGGCTAGATGCTGCATAAGGCTAATCTTAAATAACAAAGTATTGTCTTTAGAAACTGTTATTCTAAGAATAAGACATGAAACAGATACAAATACATTCAAATAAAATGGCTGATGTTTTAAATGATCAATCCAACTGAGAAATCTTATCAGGTATGTCTATAAACTTCTCAGATGTACTCTTAGGATTGAAGTCACTTTCACATTTTCATATCCAGGTGCTGCAGCATATAGCACATCACATGCCCGAACCTATTCACGATAGTTGCTGCTATTGAAGCCCTTTTCAACATTTTCCTGCTGACATTTTTGTGATTTCTACAAGTTTTCCCATTGTTCTAGATTTTGTTTAGAAGATAAAACTCACTAGGGAGTTATAAAAAATCAATTTATTACTAATTCATTAACATAGACTATCCTATCCCCAAATTGTTTCTGAAATAACACATTAAAATATAAAAAAATACAAAAATTTCTTATTCTGCTTTTATGTATTTCACTTTCCCAGTCTGAACCATTTAATATGAAGCCGCCCTAAACTGCCAAGTTCTCT